TCATTTAAACCTGGTGACTCATGGTAACCAATAAGCAAACTTGGTACCTTTTGAAGGATGTTATGCCATTTGTCCCTCCCTACTCTCAACTCTCAATAGTCTCTAGCTGACATACTCTTTTTGAATCCTAGGGTTTCCTTGCTTTTCTGTAGCCTTTCTCTTTCCACTTGTAGACCAACATAAGCCATTCCCCTCCCCCCCCCATTATTAATGCATTGGCTACTAAACCCTATTCACTTTATTCTCTACTGTGAATAGAGAATTGGGAATTTAGAGAACACGTCTTGTTAGACTTGGATATGATGTTAGAATAAACAGGACCAAGTGAAAGCCTGAAGGCCTCTTGGCACTTTATTTAGAGCTTGAATTTTCTCAGAATGCCTACTTGCTTATTAAATAGCCATTCTGCTTTATTTCTAGTTCTTCAGCATGTTCTAGTTTGGACAAGTAAGCTGCTGTTAGATAATCTAAAAACCGATGTTTTGTGTAATGATAATGATAATGAGGGATGCAGTGCAGTGTTAAGAACAAAGATGCTTCTAGAATCAGAATCAGTGGATTCAAACCTGGTTCCTCTGCTTATTGGCTATGTAATTTAAGTTGTTGCTTAAACTCTCTGCACTGCCATTTCTCACCTATAAAAATGAAGATAATGGTATCTTCACATGTTTCCTGAAGACTAAAAAAGATAATATATGATGAGTAGAACAGTGCCTTGGTCTTGATAAGCAATTGCTGTTACAGTTAATATATTAATAAGAATGTATTGATATTTACTCTGCACAAGGTGCAGTGATGAGCTGTTAAAGCACGTCATGAGACCTTTAGGATAATCTAGTTGTGATCTACCACCCACTATCCTCACCCCATCCTGAAGTTAAAATAAACTTTAATGATAATCTGTTCAACTTTTAAGCTTTCCATCGAAAGCATAAATTATGTTTTAGCTTACTTATTATTCAGAGGTATGGTTTAAAAGGGACAATTATAGCTAAATGCCTGAGTGATGTTAATTTCAAAGACTTTTAAAAAATTTATTTTTGTTTTCAGTTACAGTTGACATTCAATATTATTTTATATTAGTTTCAGATGTCCAGCATAGTGGCTAGACATTTGTATAATTTAGGCAGTGATCCCACCAACTAGTCTAGTACCTACCTATACATAATTGTTGCAACATTATTGACTATATTCTGTATGCTGTACTTTACATCCCGTGACATCATACATACTTAATGATGAGACACTTGAAACTTTCTTGCTAAGATCAAGAGCAAGGTAAGCATGATCCCCCCCTCACCACTCCTTTTCAGCATCATACTGGATGTCCTAGCTAATGCGGTAAGACAGAAAAGGAAAGAACACATATGCAGATTGGGAAGGAAGAAATAAAACTGCCTTTTTTCACAGATGACTCTTAAAAACATTCTTTGGTACTCTATATAGAGATGCGCAGCTTGCAATGAAATTACACTGTTGTAGAATCATGACCACTAGAGGTCACATTATACTTGCATATTATTTAAAAATCTTGTTTTTTGCTAGTGTCAGTGAAGTATACTTCAAAGAAACACTGAGATAGAAAAAGTCCATTACTGCTTCCTGCAAAAAAATATAGCTTGGGAAAAAAAAAAAAAGAAACCCACACCGGACTATTTCAGGAACCATCATTATATGTCATGGTATTATATTTGACAGTTGATTACACCATTGATTAGAACAGGTGGGCAAAATGCGGCTTGCGAGCCACATGCTGCTCTTTGGGTATGTTCTGTCTCAAAAGTTTGCCAACCCCTGGTATAGCCAATCCTGTCCCTCACAATTTAAAAATTATGTGAGAGCCATTAATATATTTTTACAAATAAGGAAAATTTAAAGTAGTATTATAAATGAAGCTATGATAGTTTTATTTTCATTTTCAATTTTACTTCAGAGCCACATGTACGTACCCAAAGAGCCGCAGTTTGCCGACCCCTGGGTTAGAAAATTGATTTGTGTTATTGAAGTTCATAGTGACATCTTAGTACCCAAGATAGAAGTAGAAACTTCTTACTCCAAGCCATAGAATCATTTGCATTTCTTGAAACTATGTCTGAATGATTGCATGTAGGTGTAGAGTCATTTGAATATTTTTCTCACATTAAAAAAAATTTATAATAAGAGTATAGATTTGGAGTGCTACCTACTCAAAGAATACCTACACAAGTTACTTAAATCCTCTGGACTTCCAATTTCCAAATATGTAAACTGTGAATGATTGCTATAACAGTACTATGGTGATTCTGAACATTTTAAGTGAAATTTCTATGCAAATAATTAAATCTATGCAAATGGTAAAGTGGGTTATCAGATAACTGCTATTGTTTTTCACCCTCTAAGGCACACTATGGGAAAGATTATAAAAACCTCTAAATTTCTATCCTCTTTTTTCTGATAGACTAGATTATTAGTTTATATTTACTTTTCTGAAATAGCCATTGTAGCTAATAGTAGATATATTTTAAATGGGCTACCTTTAAGATACTTTATTTTAGGAAATGTCCTAAATATTAATTTGTACCTGTGTGGAAAATCCATGTATGTGGAATTCATTCCACTGTGATACTTGATGTTACTATTTTTATTTAGCCACAGCCTTAAGTGCAGAATTGATTAAAAAAATGAGTACTGATTCTTGGCAGTTTAACGTTTTTGCAAGGTTTTTCAGAACTAATAAGTATAATTGAATTGACGCATTCCTGTAGTCTGCTTTTACTTATAATTTTGTGGATGATATCAGAGTTGAAGTGATAGATGCTAAGGAGACCATGAGATGGACTAATTAATTATGGTTTTAAGTATGTATCAGCCACAAATTACAAAGGTAATCTTTTTTTTTAACTTTAAAAAAAATTAGTTTCAGGTATGCAACACAATGTAATAGACATTTACAACCCCTCACAAAGTGATAACCCCCCTCTCCCAGTCTACTACCCCTCTGACATTGTATATAACTGTTACAGTGCCATTGACTGTATTCCCTATGCTGTACTCCATATCCCATGAGTATATATACATACATATATATATATATATATGTATATTTAATTATAGTAGACATTCAATATTATTCACCCTCAGCTTCAGGTGTATAACACAGTGCTCAGGCATCTACACAGCCTATGAAGCGGTCTCCCTAATAAGTCCAGTGCCTGTCTGACACCCTATAAAATCTTTACAACATTATTCTCTTTTTTTTTTTTTTTTAGCTGAGCCATCCTGCTACCTGTTGGTAGTTCAGCGGCTGCTCAGCTCGGGCTGGACTAAAATCTTTATAACATTATTGATTATATTCCTCAAGGTGTATATCATATCCCCGTGACAGTATTGTGACTACTAGTTTGTGCTTTCTAATTCCTTTAACTTCTCCCCCATCCCCCCTCCCATCTAGCAACCATCAGGTCCCCCCCCATATATCTCTGAGTCTATTTCTGTTTTGTTTGTTTGTTTATTCTGTTCTTTAGATTCCACATATAAGTGAGATCATATGGTATTTGTCTTTCTCCATCTGACTTATTTCACTTAGCATAATATTCTCTAGGTCCATCCATGTCATTGCAAATGGTAAGATTTCATTCTTCTTTATGGCTGAGTAATGCTCCATTGTATAAATGTACCACAGTTTCTTTATCCAGTAATCTACTGATGGGCATTTCAGTTGTTTCCATGTCTTGGCTATTTTGAATAGCGCTGCAATGAAACATAGGTGATCTTAACTATTGACGTTATGTTTATAGTCATGCAGTGAGGGCTTGATTGACAATTTTAGCATTTAAAATGCAAACAATTTTTTAACTTTTGTATGCAGAAATGATTGTGAGCATAAGTAGAATGCTGTTGGCTCAAACACAGGCAGCAAATAGTATATGAGTATATAAAGTAGATGATAATCTCTTCTTCACTGTAAATATTTGATTTTTTTTTAAAGATTTTTTTTTATTGGGGAATTGGGGGGATGGGAATAGCACTGGGGAATTGGGAGAAGGGGAACAGACAAGTTGCTGTCCTTTTGTGCTTCAGTCTAGTTGTAGAGGATGTTGCTTCACTGGCCCAAGTTGGCACCATCATTGCGCTCTTCCCAGGCAAGGCAGATCAGTCGCCGGATTCTGGACAGCTGCTCACTGCGGCTGCTGGCCGCTCATGTTGGCTGCTGGCCGCTCACGCTGGCTGCTGGCCGCTCACGCTGGCTGCTGGCTACACACGGTAGCCCATGGCAACCCATTGCCACAGGGGCTGCAGCCTACACCGTCGCCGGCGACTCATAGGCAGCCCAGCTCCAGGTTGAGCTGTTGTTGAGCATCTTAGCTGTGGAGGGCAGTGTCACTGGCCCTCATATGTGGGATCCGAACCGGGGCCCTCTGGTGTCCCAAGCCAGTTCTTAACCATCGTGTCACTCGGCTGGCCCAATATTTGATTTTCACTACTCCTCCCACCTTCTTATTGTCTTAAGTAGTGCTGATGGCTCCAGAGCTCAGGTGAGGTCTGTCTGACCCCAGTCTGCCTCACCCTAAAGCTTGTATAGTCTTACCTTTTACATTTATCAGACTACTGCTTTTTTAAAAAAGCCTTTTGTCATTATAACCTACACTATATTTCCTGTATTTGAAATGTTTTCTAATAAATACATATTATATAGATTTTTTTTCTCATTTTATGAATTTTATGGCTAAGAATCCCCACTATATGTCTGTCTTGAAACCATCATGTAAAGTTTTGGGATCTGTTAGATTCCAGCTTGAACTTCTGCTCTGCCATTTATTTTTCTACAACTTTGGGCAGGTCCCTTAATCTCTGAGTTGTTTTGGTTTTTGTTCAGTGAAGACAGTCATTTTAATATATAGTTGGTGAATGAATAATATAGTTCATGTCTAGCCTACTAATTTCAGAACCATTGTTCTGGTTTTGTTGTTGATTTTCAGGGAGGTGGCTGTGTTTGAAATTCTTGTTTTTTTCTATTATAGATAACAGATAAGAGAGTGTCCAGAAGACATGCCATTCTTGAGGTGGTGGGTGGTCAGCTTCGAATCAAACCGGTAAGTATGTTATTAACGATTTTTAAAATCTTTTTGTCTCTCACCTTTTCCAGCTCCTGATTAGAGGGGCTGATCTAAGTTTATGGAAATAGGGAGTTAATGTCAAAATATATCCTTCTTATTACCAGAAGATAATTGGGAGATAAAGATCAAACTATTTAAACTACCTGTTTTCCCACTGGGCAGTGTTACATTTACATAGTTAGAATTTTAATGAACGATGAATACTAGTTCATGCACACATTATGATTTTGTTCATGACTGGATTTTTATAAAATTATGTTATTTTCCAGTACTTAATATCTGACACCTTTTCTATGAGCCATGATGGCCTAAAATAAAGAAGTTTGATTTTGTTGTTAGTGAAACACATTAAGGTAAAGAATATAGGGATCCCTAAATTCCTATCCTGCTTTTTCTGATTGAGCATATCATTAGTCATTAGTTTATATTTACTTTTTTTTTTTTCAAAATAACAATTGTGGCCAGTAATATACCTGGCTCCCCAAGTGGAAGACCCATGACTTAATACTTAACTTTTTACATTATTTAGATTTACTGCTCTATAATTCATATTAATGAAATGAGGAACTTACAGAGAGTACTTAATTTTTGGCCAGTCTGACACTTAATTAGTCCTTGATGATTGGATTTCTAGTCATTTTTGATACCAAAGCTGAGAATATCAGTTCCTGCAATAGGTTTATAGACTTTTCTAGATTTGTATTGCTAGTATTCAAATCCCACTGTGTTTGCAGATATCACAGAAAATAGTTATAAACTCTGGGTGGAAGCTTAAATGATCCAGCCACTTTGGAAAATAGCTTGACATTATTTCCTAAAGATGAAGAAGGCATGTATTCCCTACAAGCCAGAACTCCCCCCAACCCCCCTCACATATACCAAGTGATATGTACAAGAACACGAATAGCAAAATTGTTTATATAATAGCAAAAACTAGAAGCAACATTTCCATCAACAGTGGAATTTATAAATATATTGTGATATATTCATTTAATGAAATATACTACAACAGTGAAGATAAATTATAGTGAAAGCATGAAAAACATGGGTTAAAATCAGGAACATAATTCTGAATGATGCAAGCAAGCATTGGAAGAATATACACAATATGGCCCCACTTATATAAAATTTAAAATCTTACAAAATAAATACTATCTTCGGGGTCATAAACGTAGGTGGTAAAACCATACAGAAAATCAAGGAAGTGATAAACACAACAATCAGGATAATAATGACCTCTGAGGACACTGAGAAGAGAATGGGATAAAGACCCACAGGGGATATCAAAGGTAATAGTAACACTTTTTTCTTAAACTGGGTGGTGGGTCCATAAATAATATCCTACATGTATTATGTCTTTAAAAATTAGTATAGGACATTTGCAACATGAAAAAGGTATAAAGAGTAGCACAATGTACAACAGTTATTTCTACATTGGAAGACATGGAAAAGCATATTTACTTTTAAGGAGACATACAACCCTAGTACAAGAATTTGACTGTTGTTTTAGAAAAATATCTAATTGGGTTTTGAATTTTATTTCAGTGATTGTATTTACATTATATTAGTGGAAAGAAAGCTGCTTCTTGGAGTTGGTGATATATGTATAGGTCTTTTGCTCTATGCAATGCTTAATTTCTTGTTTATATTAATATGGTTGCAATAAAATGCCTATTCCCTTGAAATAGATTTATTTATTTATTCACCTACTTCATGTAACTGCACCTACAAGGTACATTTTAGAGAAATTCTAAAACTGACTTTAATTGTCAATAGAAGTTTAAAGGTATTGAAAATAAGGAGAATGAAATGAAAATGTATTTGATGTGCTAAAGCAAGTTATATATACAATTATAATAAAGTGTTGAGAGAAATTTTAGCTTAAAACATTGTAAAATTATATAAATGAATATAGCAAATATTTTGTTATGATGCTTTCTGAATGCTGTGTACTCTTCTGTTTTCCTTCAATTTAGAAAGCTAATCAAGTAAAAAAGTAGCTTTGACTATAATAGATGAATGCAATTAGGACAATTACTAATTTGTACTTTTAAAATGGATGAATTTGTCTTTTTTCCCCCTCTAATTTCCCTTTAACAAAGTCTCTAAAAAAAAAAAAGTCTCTAGCTTGCAATAGTTCTTGGAAATAGCGCATGAGGAGAAAATGTTAGCTTTATTTTTGTGTCATTTAAATTTAATCTAAAGTCAGATAACAGCAGGGAGAAAATTCATTGTGAAGGCAAAATGATAATATTCTCTGTAAATGACTGTATCACCAGTGGTTAGTTATGTCCTCAGGGTGAATTCATAGCTGTAATGCTTTTATTTCATTTTAATAAAAACTTACTCTTTTTGGTTCTTGGTGATTGAGGGAGTAGTTATATAGCTACATGTAAATTCTAAAAGATATATTTTTTTATTCATTTGTTATTGATCCTCAAAATATACATCTTTGAGTGACTGGTTTTTTTTATTGCACAATAAAATTCCTGAATTGTGATTGTTTATCTTCCTATGAAATTATGAGTTTACTTATAAAATAGCTATAAAATGCTGCCATAGCTTTCCCACACCTTTTGTTAAAAAAAAAAAGACAGAGAGAATGCTTTCTAAATTTAAAAAAATGAGGAACCTCTTTTTTGGGTACACATCAATCTTTCTTTAATATTTAATGATAACTCTAAGAGAAAGCTATAAAAATTGACTTGTATTTTAGTTCCAGTTCTTCAGGGATAATGCACCCTTTGTACCACTTCTTAAATTATAGCATAATCTATTCAGGTTTACATCTCTAATCCCATGTATATGTTAAATGGCTCACACCAATGATATGCCTCTCATGTAGACAGCTCGTATCTTTTATTCACTGCGAGTTTGGGTTTGCTAGTATTTTGCCTGCCCTTGTCTGCTTTTAGAATCAAAATTAAACTAGCCTCATTAAAGGAATTTGAGAGACTTCCATCTTTTTTGTCTTGAAAGAGTTTGAATGTTCAGAAAAATCTTAAAATTTATATGGCCTGATTTTGGGTGAAATTAGAAAGATTTTTTTTTTTTTTTTAGTTTCAGGTGTACGAAACAAGGCAATAGTTATCCTTTTCGCCCCTTACAAAGTGACAACCCCCCATCCCCCATCCACTGCCCTCCCACCCCTGATATCATACGTATCTATTACAATTCCATTGACTCCATTTCCCCACTATACTCCACATCCCGTGACTATATGTATATAAAATTATAGTTGACATACAATATTATTCAACATCAGCTTCAGATATACACAGTGTGGTGGTCAGGCCTCTACACCGACTATGAAGTGGTCTCCCTAACAAGACATGAGTCCATCTGGCCCCCTAAAAAATATTTATAACATTATCGATTATATTCCCCAAACTGTCTTTTCTATCCCTGAGGCAATATTGTAGTTATCAATTTATGTTGTCTTGTCCCTTCCCCTTCTCCCTCATCCCCACCCCCTCCCAACTAGCAACCATCAGTTTAGAAACATTTTTAACTATTGATTCTGTTTTAAAAATATAGGTCAAATTCAATCTCTTTTCCTTTTTATAATTAAATACTTTTTCAACAAGCCACACACACATAAAATACATGGTGGTTTTTTTCTTCTTTGTTTTTAAGTCTGGTTTATATTCTTTAAGATAATTGTCAATTTTGGCCGTATTTTCAAATCTATTTGCATAAAGTATAGTATTATTTTTCAAAAGTTTTGTTTTAGATGTAGTTATGTCATTGTTTCTATTCTAAAAATTTTGTGTGTGTATATCTTCTCCCTTTTTGTTTATTAATATTGCTGGATTTTTGTCTACTTTATAATTGTTTTTAAAAAACTATCTTTTTTGGACTTCATGTGTGTGGCTTTTCAGTTTGAATGTATATAGTTTGACATAGATTTTTAAAAACTTATTCAATGAGTAATATTTATGTATAAGTTGTAGGATCAAACATTATATTTCTTGGAATGTCATTTTTGCTCTTAGTTCTGAGATCCCCTGTAGGAATAATTTTAGGAAAACAAAAAGATAATCATGGACCACACATATTGATCCACTTCCTTTGTGGCTGAATTTGCTAAATGCTTGATATTTAACCACCTAAAATTTAAATGTTAGGTGCTTTCACCAGAGGAAAAATTACTCAGACTGAATGCTTCTTTGACATTGTGTTCGTGATGCCTTTTTAAAGAAATGTAGTTAGTTTTCTTTTTAAATGAAACTGTTCTACTCAGAATTTTTGTCTTGCATTTAATATCTTCGCCTTTGTAAATTTAATACTATGCTATTATTTAACATTGTTTATAGAGTCATCTGAGTTTGTAAAATATTGATGAATAAGAACATGATCTTATCTTAGCCAAAATCTTATCTTAGGCAAACCTCATTTAAAGAACATTTAGGGTTCTGGCAGAAGCTAATGTACATTCTTGTTTTGACTCTTGTCCCTCCCACTACCCCACATTCCTGACTCTGGTGACTGGGATACTTAAGGGAGGGGAGGCTTCACTTAAAAGGCTAAGGAGGAACAGGGATGGATTTCCTAGCCCAGGGGTGTGCACAAGCTCAGAACCTGGTGGTGCCTTGTTATGCCTGCTTGCGCTCGAAAGCTCCAGCGGTGAGCCAGAACCACTTTGGGAGGTAAATTAGGGGGGTACTGATAGCATAATGAAAGGTCTTTAAACATTACATTTAAATTATAACTTAAATAAAAGAATCAAACGTTCACAACCCTTTTAGTGAATATGGTGTGGCACTGCATCTCCATTCTTACGCAGTCTTGTATATAGTTGTAAAATGTCTCTGACCAGCAAAATAACTGGCTACCAAATTTGTATAGCCTCTGTTTTTAATTCTTACTTCTACCCTTTATCTCCCAATTTTATTGTACTGCTTTCTTTTAACACAGATTTAAAGGAAATAGAAATGTTTTCAATTGCAGATAAACCTTAATGGCCAGATCCTCATAAAATGAAATTGCCAAGACTAGGTAGATATATTTATTCTAATAGCTTTCAAAGTTGTCTTTAAAAAAAAAATTGGGCATGTAGGTAACAACACTTAATTTTCTGGCAGCTTTTGTTTTAATGCCTCCTATTCTATATTAGTACCCCCCTTCTCCAACTTGGTTCAATGTACTGTTTGGACAGTTTACCTTCTAAAATGTAGTTATTTTCTTTACAAATTGAGCTAAGTGGTTTTCTAGGTTCTTTTCCCTAAATTCCAGTACTGAGGTTAGTTTAAAAGTATAACGTTATGATTTGATGAGATGAAGTCAGGTGAAGTAACAGAATTACTTGTGTGATTTTTTTGTTTTGGGGATTTTGAAAGCCAGTAAGCTTATGTGCCCAGGTGCTTGCTATCAAGAGATTTTTAGAAGATGAAAGTGGTTGTTGTTTAAAAATTTAGTTTACCTAATTGTATAGATTGTATATATAATGTTTAAAAAGCAATGCAACCTAATATCTTACAAAAAATGAAATTAAAATGATTTTCGGGGTGAACCTATTTAAGTGACTTAACAGGTAGTGTTTTTTTTAAGGCTCACTTCTTATAGTAAACTCTTTGGAACCGTTCCTGAGATTGTTTACTGATATCTGACAGCTGAAATATCATTGATTCTTCCTGCTCTTAGAGACTTCTGTGTTTGGCACAGTAACCTGCACTAATGGGCCTGACAGCCTAGTGGTGATTTAGCAGATGGTTATAGGTAATCTTCGAACTGAAAGGAACTGGTTCAGACAGTTCAAACAGAGAGGTGTAGTGGGATAAGAAATCTCAGGCTGTAGTAAATCAAAGACCATTTTAAGACCTTTAATTGGGTCCAAGATTGTGTGTGTGAAGATTTGGGAACGTGAGGGTGGGAGATGAGTCTGGAAAGTGCTGTAAGTTTATGAAGAGCCTTCACTGCTGTGTTTTGCTTATACTGGGGCATCATCAGAGGCTTTACACAGAGAAATGTAAGAGAATAACTTGGGAAGCAGTGAGGTGAATGAAGACAGGGTGCCTTGATGTGATGTTAGCCCAAGCAAGCAATGCAAGCAGTGGTTATGAGCCTGAACTAGGGAGTGACTATGCAAATGGTAAAGAGAAATGGATTCAAGAGATAGTTCGGAAATAAATAAATGATCTGGGACTTGACATTTCGGGAAAACATTATAGATGTCCAATAAGTGTTTGTAGATATTTGGGTGAGTTTTAATCTATAATACAAATTAAATCAGAATATATTGCATTTACCCCTGAAAATCCTATGCATTTTCTGTAGAAATAGACTTTAAAAAAAATAAAAACAATTGAAAAATAAATTGTAATGCAAAGTAGTCTACTTGTAATGCAAAGTTAGTAATATTATTTGCTTCATGTTTTATAACAATATCCTAGACTTGTTTATATATTACTTAGTTTATATTCTATAAAGCCTTTAGACTTTTAAAAAGTGAAAGTGAGTATATTTAATAAAAACTTTTACCAAATTTCCTAATAAAGAGACATCTGTTGAGGGTTAAAAAACGTACGGCTACATTTCTAGAATTTCAAAATACATTAAAAATAGGCTTATGTAAACTTCCTTAATTTACTGATAATAAATATTTTTTACAGTAGGAACAGAAGTTTTTGCCTACTGTATTTATACTGAATTCTAGTCTTTTCAAACTCAGGGTGACTAAAACATACTTTAATACCTACAGATATTTTCAATGGTTGGGATAAAAAAGGCTTTAATGTATGAAAATATGGTTGTATCCCAAGATACTTTAATGAAGTATAAATAGGAAAACTGGAAATGTTCAGCATATGTCTAATCCCAGGGTGGTAATTATCTTGCTGTACTGGAGAGGTTGCTGAGGTGGCTAGAAAGCCTCATCTGAACGAATGAAGCAGATGTGTGGGTGGTAGAGGGAGTCGCTCTATGTAAGATTCTGTTAAAAAACCAAAGATCTGCATTAACGTAGATTGATTTGTTACACACTAAAGCTTATTTATTTGAAACGTTTAATCATATTGATGATAAAAAGGCTATTTGACCTTTGGAAATGGCCACTTTCAGCTTGATTCTGGTTGGAGTTTTGAAGGTGTCTTTCAATAGATCTTAGTTTTGGGAGGCAACTTCATTATCTTTAACACAAAAGCAATCAGTGGCAAACATACAATAATTAAAAATAGTAGATATTGTCATAGTTTTGACATTGAGATATATTTACTACCTGCAGTTTGAATATGGATGATGATCTTCATCGTGGGAGCTTCATTCAATCAAGTGAGATTCCTCTGTGAGGAGCTAAAAAAAAAATTGAAAAAAAAATGTTGTTTGCTTGAGACATTTGACCAAAATCTCCCTTCTTGTAGTTTCTCATTTTTCAATCATGGTAAGAAATTATTAGGGGAAAATAAGTAGAAAAGAAGGTAGCTATTTCCAGGGGATTAGTGAATTTTGGATATCAAAGTTTGGGGACTCAGTTTCCATACCGAGAATTATTTTTCATGTTTCTCTTTCTAATGTTCAGTTATCTCAAGCAAAACAGAAGTATCTTTTACTGGTTAATTGATAACTTTGCTTTTTTCTTTGATTCCTAGAGAAATGGGAGGTATATTACAGCTTTTTGTCCCCTTTTATATGTATAGATAATAATTATGGTATTTGTAAGTGCCAGATTTGTTAGACTTTTAAGTCTCATTTATACCTACATTACTTTTATAGTAAAATTTTGTATCAGTTCATGTTTAGTTGTATTTTTGTCATAATTTTGCGCTACAACATCACTCTATTTCTTTATTTGCTAGATACACACAAATCCATGTTTTTATCAGTCTCCTGAGAATAGCCAGCTCTTACCATTGAGGACAAATCTATGGCACTGGTTGAATCCTGGAGATAGTTTTTCTCTGCTAGTTGACAAGTACATTTTCTGTGTTTCCTCTACATATTCTGAAATGGAATCGGAATGTACTTTAAGGTAAGATTGCCTGATGAAATGAGATTAGGTAATGGTATTTATAATCCAATGCCTCAGCCATCCACAAATACTTCAGTAGAAATCATTACAGTATTAAACTGTTTTGGCAATATAGGAGTTACATGGTGGGGTGTGTGTGTGTGTGTGTGTGTGTGTGTATGTATGTTTCTAGAAAACATTTGACTTTGGAAACCTATGCCTCAGTAGTGATTGTCCCCATATGTTCTGTCTTTTACCATTGTGTTCAGAATGTATTTTCCATCTAATAGTAGCCAGGATAGTTAGTTTGAAACTGACTACACTTTCTTAAAATTTTTTTTTTAATTAAAAAAATTTTATTAAGGTATTATCCTCTGGGTTAGGCTACATTTGTATAACTTATCTTTCTTATAAAAATAACAGAAAAGATAGAGTAGGGAAAGTGAAGAAATGAGGTATTACAATAAACATCTGGTGTAAAGTTAAAATTAATATTTTGTTGAGGCAGCCATTAGCAGATTATTTGCTTTTGTTTCAACTTTTAAAATATAGAACACATAAACTGGACCTGTAGAAGTAGATGGACAAAATTATACAGACTATGTTCACTAATTTCACTGACATTAAATAAAAAATAATAAGGTATCTAGAAAAATATCCAAATATTTTGAAATTGAAAACACATTCCTGAATAACTCATTAGCTCAAGGAAAATCACAAGGAAAATTAGAAAACATTTTGAACAGAATAATACTGAAAACATAACATAAAAATTTGTGAGATGTAGCTAAAGTCGTCCTTAGAGGAAAACTTATAATAAATGACTATATTAGAAGGTAAGAAAGCTAAAAACCAATGATCTGTGTTTATGCTTTAAGAAGATAGACAGGCAGGAGCAAATAATTCCAAAGTAGTAGAAAAAAGGAAATAAGAAGAATTGAGAATGGAAATAAATGAAATAGAAAATAGACAAATAAAATTAACAAAACCAAAAGCTGGTTCTTTGAAAAGATTAATAAAATTGGGGAAACCTTACCAAAGCATACCAAGAAAAACAAAGCTAGAAAACACAAATTATCATTATCAGAAATGGAAGAGGGGATATCACTACTGATCCTACAGACCCTTAAAGAACAATGAAGAAATATTTAAAACTTTATGCTAGTAAATTTGACAGCCTAAATGAATGCATACATTCCTTGAAAAACAATTTAACAAAACTGATACACAGAGAAACAGAAAATCTGATAAATCCTATATCCATTAAAGAAATTGAGTTCACAATTTAAGAATTTTCCACAAGGAACTTCACCTGTAAATTCTTTTAAACTTTCAAGGAAGAATACCAGTATTACACCTTTTTGCCCAAAATAGAAGAGGCTGCTCTTCCTCACTCATTTTATGAAAGCTTCCATAATTCTGATACCAAAAATAGACAAGAATATTACAAGAAGAGAAAATACGGACTCCTCCCTCACAACAAAATATTACATATCAAATCCAGTAGTATATAAAAAGGATAATACACTTTGACCAAGTGAAATTTGTCCAAAAAATGCAAGGTCTATTTATCATATAAAAATCAACCAATTCAATTCACTATAACATATTAAAGAACTGTCATAATTTTGACAAAATTCAACACCTGTTCATGATTTTTTTAAAAAAGATACCTTTGAGAAAACCAGGAAAAGAAGAAAACATCCTTCCTATAAAAAGCTTATCCTTAGTAGTGAAATATTAAAAGTTCTTCCCCTAAGATTGAGAACAAAACAAAGATGTATATTTGCACAACTTTTATCCATCATTTATTTGAGGTCCTAGCCAGTCCATTAAAGCAAGTAAAATAAGTAAAATGGATCGTATTGAAAAAGAAGAAGTAAAACTTTTTTTGTTTGTAGATGACATGGTTGAATATTTAGAAAATCCTGAGGAATCCACCAAAGAAGCAAGACATGATTACATTTAGATTACATTTAATAAGCAAACTATACTGATGGAAATCCACTCAATGGTTATTTCCAGGGGATTGACTAGGAAGGGGCACAAAGGAACTTTTTGTGGTGATGGACATATTCTATATTCTGTGTCTTAATAAGGGTGGTTGCATGGCTGTCTGTATTTATCAAACTGATCGAACTGTGCACCTCAGGTCTGTGCATTTCAGAATATGTAAATTATATCTAAAATTTTTAAAATAGTAAATGCAAAGAAATTATGTCAGGAAATTGTTTTTTGATTTGGCTAAATGAACTCAATAACCATGGCTTGCTCTTTTAAAGTACAAATATTTCTCTTATCACATATGTATAAAGAATGTTTTCTTAACTAGCTGCTGAAATAAGAAATATTGGGAGCTAATTTTTTGTTATAATACATTTCCATAATAGAATTATGTACTTTCTTTCAAAGATCAGGAAAATATACATTTCTATAAAACAAAGTATGGTCATACCTGATAACTGATATATATTATTATATGTCAATTTAAATTTTATTTATATCTATCTGAATTAGCTTGTCCCCTTGGTGTGAAAGATCAGTGTTGTAACTTAAATTAGATTGTGGATTAGTGAATTTTGAATTTTTTTAGTATTGATAAAACTGAAAATACAACCCACTTTAACAGCACTGTACTTTTTAAGGCTATTTATTATGAATAATATTATCTGATGTGTTGTTGCTATCAAGATAAATGTGTTGAAAGAGGTAGTAAATATTTTACATATTTGTATGCCTAGAGTAACCAAAATAATTGTTTTTATATTAAAAAATTAAATACTTTGTTTTAGCTTGGTAAAATTTGCTTCAGGGTGTTGATTTCACTCTCAGTTCTTTTTCAGTTTGTGATTTAAAAGTTTTCAGATAGTCCCATGATAATGGAATGTTTTCTGATGTGCAGTGATCATTTCCTTTTTTTTCACTTTGATCCTTATCACTGATGTAGTAACAATAGTTGAAAGACCATTTACCTAAAGATCAGGTTAACTGTAATAGCTATTTTTTTAAATTTATTAGTTTCAGGTGTACAAAACAATGCAATAGTTTTACTTTTCACGCCTCACAAAGTGACAACCCCCTCCCCCAACCCAGCGCCCCTCCATCCCCGATATCACATTTGCATCATTCAGTATATGATTCAAAGCATATAGCCTTCTCTTTTAAGCATTTTGGCAATATTACATTCATTTAAGGATGTTTTTGCTTTCATTGGTTAAACATATAACATTTGAATGGGTAGAATAAAAATGAAACCTAAAATACTTTCTTAAAAGGGGCCATGTATTAGAATATATGTTTTTCTTTATCTATAAAGGACCAGATTGTAATTATTTTAGGCTTTGCAGGGCATATGAGATATGTCCTAATAACTCAATTCTGCTCTGCTAGTGCACAAGCAACCATAGACAATATGGAAATGGATGCACATGTCTATGTTTCCATAACACTTTGTCTACGAAAACAGGTAGCAGATTGGATTTTGACTAAGAATTTAGTTTGCTGATACCTGTATTAGAGTAAAAGCTAAGTTGCATAACAAGATGGCCCCCAAATACAGTGCTTAAACAAGATAGAATTTATTCTTCTGTCACATAATAGTTCAAAGTTGCAGGTGTGCTCTCCTTCATAATGTAATCTAAGCACTCTGGCTAAATGGAGTAGCTCTGTCATCCTCAACATACAGCTTCCAAATTAGCTGCATCATTAGTGTTTCCAGTTGGTGGGAAGGAAATGAAGAAGAGAATCTAAGACAAGTATCTTGCACATATCACTTCCATTTACACCCGCCCTGAAAAAAAATGAGGTGCGTGGCCACACTGAGTTGTAAGGAAAGCTGGGAAAGGTGGTCTCCAGCTGGGTAGGTAGACAGACATGGTTACACGTGCTTACTGATCAGTGCCATTCCAACTTAGCTGTCTGTTATGCCCGTAACACCCACTTAACCTGTGATGGTGAAATGCTAACTACTTGGCTTGTACAATTCTAGAATCCCATCATCTCCCTTGATAAGAGGAGCCCTGTTTTTTGGCAGCCGCCCTTACCACCAACACTGACCTATAGAGGCAGCTACCATTGAGTCCTTAACACTGCTTCACTATTGCTTACTGCTCTGGGCCCTTCTGGGGTACATAGTCAGCCCGGGGATTCTCTAGCCTTATGTGATAAATCCATTTTAGCATGCCTACCTATTTGAGGTCACAATCAACTATCTGTTGTAGTGCCCTCACTCGACCCGAGCCCTGGCAACCACTGATCTGATTGCTGTCCCTGTAGCTTTGCCTCTTCAGAAAGTCATAGAATGGAATCATACGATATATAGCCTTTTGTGTCAGGCTTCTTACACTTAGCAAAATGCCTTTGAGATGCATTCATGTTGTTGTACATACCAGTAGTTCATTTCTTTTTATTTATGAGTAGTATTTTCATCTGCATTTTCAAATTGTCAAAAAAAATAACCTAGTTGGATCGTCTCTACGCGTACATTAGGAATAATGATGCAGCAGCTGTGGTTGGTCTTACCGTACTTTGCCCCAAGTAGGAGGTAATTGATTCTGCTGGTATGTCCCGCATGTGACCATGGATACTCCTGTGTGAGAACATTTAGCTTCCAGTCAGACTACAAGTTTGGGGAGATTTCTCACGGGGCTGTACTTGCCAGAGCCCGGTTGCAGCTGTCTGTGAACTTGGAGTCAGGATTTTATTTATTTTTTTCTTCAAGAGCCTTACTAGCTTAGCTGATGTTCTTGCAGGCTGTATTGTCTCTTTGGATGCTGGGTGGTGATCTTAACTTTAAGAACTATCTAGACAAATACTGAATAAGTAAATGGCTCTTAAGCCTTGAGAGAGATAGCTGCTCCCCATCTCATAAATAGCTGTGGGTTTTAGGCCCATGATTTGGAAAGACTGATGTATTTTATGGTGATATGGTGGACAGAAGATGAAGAACACATTCTAGTCTATATTCTATTATACTATAATCTGCATTTTTGTTCTGCTAAGTCTTAGGAAAGGAGCATAACTCATTCGTTAGATATATTTAAGAGAATCACGTTTATAATGACACGGTAGGCAACAGAAGGTTTTAAATTTAAATGAATTTTGATTTTCTTTTATAGAAATAGTCAAATGCTTGATAAAGGTGACCTAGTGACTAAAACACCAGGATCTTCCTTGGTTAATTTGCCTGATGAGACAACTGGTGCCTCACAGCTGGAAGGAAGCACAGAAATAGCGACGACCCGGACTTCTACCACAAATAATGTGGTGAGAAATTTAAGATCTCCTCCGTTTATAGCATGTTCCTTAAGTTATTTCCAGGAAAGATAAGAAAACTGAAATTAGACATATCATGACAATACTTCTAATATTGATCTGCTTTTGCTGTTTTTAAGTTAAACTCTAGAGAATATCACACCTACAATTAACAGAGATAATGAATTTCTTTCATTGAGAAATTTGACTAACTCAGTCCAAAGTTGCAGATGTATGTTTTCATGGTAATTTTCTGCAAAAAATAATCTTACAGTTTCATTAAAGATGCATGATTATTTTTAGTAATTAATAAAATAGGTGCCGTTTTAGTCTTTCCTAGGTGAATGCGCAGACTTCAGTAAGCAGCAGTCAAACCCTGCCCAGAGGAAAAGAATCCTTCCAGCGTGGATGTTAACAGAAAATCTAAGTGATCAAAACCTGTCAGCACCAGTCATCAGTGGAAGTAGGTTTTCTTTCAAGAAAACATTAAGCAGTATTTGAAAGTTTTTCTGAGCAAATGGAGATAGAGTAATAATTCTGTAAGTGTATAATGTAGCCTAATATTTTTTTAGAGATGTGCATGAAGTCTAATTTAAAACATAAACTATTAGTTTATGCCATTTATGAAACATCCTGCTAATTATTTTTTGATTTAACAAGTGTTATTTATCTATGTGTTAGACTTATATTAACGTAGGTTTTCAAACAAATGTTTTGGTATTATGTCTAAGATAAAAGGCCAGCATAGTAAGGGCTTTACAAAGTCATTAAATTAAAAAGTGCCAGACACACAATGTTATGTGCTGGAGGATTTAAAGAAGAGCTGTCCCTTGTGCTGGTATATACAGCTCACTGTTACGGCAGATATGACAATGATTTATGCCATCTGTTGGGTATTCTCATTGATTCAAGATTGTTTTTTGCATCGTCTTATATAGTCAGCATTTTATTTGCAACTTTTCAGTCATCTCAGGTTCAGTTTATATTGACTGCTTGTTTTATATAAGTTACATTTTCCTGTTTATTCTTTTGTCTACTGACTTTCTATTGGATATTGGATGTCATAAATGATATATTGTAGAGACTTGATTTTATGTTCCTGTGAATAAATATTTTGTTCTAATAGGCAATTAATTTAGCCTAATAGGCAATTTTCTTCTAATAGGTAGTTAATTCAGGGCCTAAACTCTGTTTCCCTGTGTGGATAGCAGCTGCAGTCTCTGATTAGTTCTTTTAGCTTCTAGCTGCTGATTTTCTCTGATTCTGGGGCTTTCCCCATGCACATGTAGTTTAGTAGTCAGCCGAAGATTTGGGTTGCTTTTATGTGTAAATTTTGGTTCTTGGCTCTCTGAGGCTTACTTCCTTCCAGGATTTTAGCCCTAACTGTCTATCTGCTCCATGAGCCTCAAACTCTGTCCCTGACCAGTTAGGCCAGTAATGCTGCAGCTTTCTGCCATCTGCGAATTGGGGATGCTCTCAGGAAAAAGCCACGAATTCACAGACCTCACAGTTGGGAGTTAATTTTTCAAGCTTAGACCCTTCTCCAGTTCTGCCTTTTGGGTCATTTTCTAGTGCCTTCAAATAGTTACTGTTTCTAATATTCAGTCACAGAAGTCTTCTAAAGTTTTTGATCAAGTATGTTATGGATAGAACATTCTTCATTTAAAGGTAGTTTGGATTATAGTAAGATCAGAGCGATCTCGTGGGAAAAATTGGTTGTATATTATATGTTGATGTAGATGTGATATAATCTGGAGAATTTTCATAACTAAACCTAAAATTTCCTGGTAAGAGTTTTATTCCATTACATTGGTTTTTAATCCCCTTCCCATCATTACCTCTATAATATATTTTTATCAGTAATATTTTTCATTGAATGTGCTAATCTCAAATTGCAGATAGGTGATGGCAAATGGGGGAAGGGGAGAGGGGGCAACCACTTTCCCTCAGTCTAACAATTTCTCTAATATAGAAAGGATAACTTTGCTTGACCAAAATTGGACCAATGTAAACTACCTCCTTGCAAAAAGAAGTCCTTTTCTTTCAGTTGTTTTGTATCTTAATTGCTTCTGTGCTACCACTATTACATTACTTAGAATGGTCCAAAACACATTTTGCTTCAAATTATAAATAGCTATTAACTTTCACTTGATAAATGTACCACACAAAATCTGAAGCACATTTTTAGGTGCTTCACCTTGAGAGCAATTTGACATTGATTTGGACAGGAATATTATATAGTACACAATGTACTTAAAATGCAAAAGCTTCAAAATTAGAAAAGTCTTTGGATTCAGATATACCTTCTTACTATAATTTTAGATTTTGGGGTAGTACCCGTAAGGGCAAAGTTACGTTGCTTAATTCCTTTGAAGACAGGAAGATTTAGAAGTAAATTAGTACCTGAATCTAGCTAATTAAAGGTTGGAATAATTCAACATTTTCTGCTATGTAGTGTTTATTTTATTGTATCATTTTGTTTGTTTAAATGATACATCATTTAGGTCAAAAGACCAATTCTAGTGATTTTTAAAAATCAATTTCCAGGATGCATTTTAAGCTCATTTAGATGTTAAGTTACTTTATTATGTCTGTTGCAGCCTTCATACTATACTGTGTTTATTGACATTTATTTAGATTATCTGAAACTAACTTGATATTTTGGAACCTTCTGGGCTATTAAGTACAGGACAGATAGCGTAAATTGATATTAAATGACTTAGGCAAGATCACATAATAAATGCCAGAACTATAACTGAGACCTAGCTCTGCCTGACTCAAAAGACATGCTCAGAACCGTATCATTATACAGCCACCTAAATATTCTCTATCTATCTATCTATCATCTATCTGTCTATTTATGATTTTTAATATGCTCTTGTGTTCTCTCCTAGATCTTTTCTCAATTTAATTCCTGTTTTAATCTTTCTATGTATCTGAATGTTTCCTGTGACTAGGCTATCCTTTCTGTTTTACAATGGGTATAGTTCTATTAATAGTTTATTTTCTGGGTACCAGCTCTTGGCTAGAATTTTCTCCCTGTCTCTTAGTGATTGGGAAGTCAGTACATTTGGTTGAAGGCTATCAGAGCCTCCCTTTCTTGGCTTCCATTTATGTGTTCCTCGGCCCCAGGACAAGTCATAATGCTTAGGTTAGGGCACTCTGGCTAGATTTTAAAAGGAGCTTTTATGTTTTCACTGGTATCATGCTACTCTATAGTTCTCTCCTTTCCCCATCTTTTAACTCTCCAACATGGATTCATGAAAAGTAGTACATGCTGATAGAAACTGAAGTAGTAAGTAGTCCCCAAACCATTTGGTTTGCATTTAATTTTGTACTGTGAATATTTTCTGTATGACAACTCAATGTAGATCATGAATATTGAACTGACATTGTTTAATTTGACTATAGTTCAAAATTTACTTAAAGTACTATTTATTCTATATATTTACTTTATTTCTAGCTGTGCTTCTAAAAGATCTAATTAATTCTAATAGCTTTTTAACCTCTTGAATTTTCTAGCTGTGCAATCATATCTACAGAATTATGATATTTTTGGCTCTTTTGATCTATATACTGGTTTTTAAATTTATACTTTTAGCCCTGAGTGTATTTCCATATACATGTTTGTAGGTATATTTGCTTAAACTTAGGAAAAAGTTGAGAAGGATACACATCAAATTATTAATATAACTTAGGAGTAGTTCCATTGGAGGTTAAAATTGGATGGACGTAATTTTAATGACATATATGCATACTTGTATAGTTGAGCCATCATTCATATAGCATATTAGTATAACAACTCATATAAATAAATGCAATTAGTAATAATTAAAGTAAATAAACTGATTTGTTTTAATAGTTAATTTCTTTTATATTTCTATCATTTAACTGTACCTATACTGGATTTATTTTTTATTTTATTTATTTGTTTATTATTATTTTTTAAAGGATTTTATTGGGGAACAGTGTTTTTCCAGGACCCCTAAGCTCCAAGTCAAGTAGTTGTTTCAATCTAGTTGTGGAGGGCACAGGTCTGTGGCCCATGCGGGGATCGAACCGGCAACTCTGGTGTTATGAGCACTGTGCTCTAACTACCTGAGCTAACCAGCTGCCCCTACCTGTCCTGGATTTAGAAAAATATTTGATATTCCAGATACAAAGATTGTTGTAAACCAATTAACTTACTTATTTTATGCACTCTTTGTGAAAAGCCTTTTAACAACAATATCAAAATGGCTTCTTCCACTGCAAAAGAAATTAGCTCTGGTCACTAGAAGGAATATTTGTAGTAGAGAATTTGGAATTTTAAAGAATTGCATATTTTAATATATGTATTTTTAATTTTAGAATTTTATGTACATATTAACTTTTGGAATGTGGCAAACTGCCACTTGGACAGAGAAGCTGTGTCTTATTTCATTTACATTTATAGTTAAACATGGTAAGCACTACCATAGTTGGTTATTTCCCTTGGCTTGACTAATTCATAACTGTTGTAGCATTTGGTTACTTGTTTTACCAAGCTATACAGTCCTATTTCTGACAGTTTCTAAAATGATACGGAATGCTTCCTAATTTAGATTCAAACCAAAGATTTAAATAATTTAGGTAAAGTTTAGTTATTAGGTAGTTTATTTATAAGTTTCTTTTGAGAAATACATTATTTTTATATTGGTTTAACCAATTTTCCTGTTTAATAATATGGACAGTATATAGTCTATTAATATTTCTTTTCTGAACTTAATGGAGTGTTTTTTTCAGGCCACTTTTAGAACAGCTCTGAGCAAACTACAGCCCATGAGCCAAACCCAGCCCACTGCCTGTTTCTGTAAATAAAATTTAATTGTAATACAGCCATGCTCATCCATGTATGTATTATCTGTGGCTGCTTTCACCCTACAAAGGCAGAGTTAGATAGTTGTGACAGATACTGTTTGGCCCACAGAGCTTAAAATACTTACTCTCTGGCTTTTTACAGAAAAAGTTTGCTAACCTTGCTCTACAACATTAGAATTGTGACTACCGATTGCCTTATGTACCCATATCCAGGCTTTCAAGGGAATCTTCGGACAAATTCTGTTCGTGTTCACAATTCATTTAGTCAGACATATGTATGGAGCACCAGCTTTGCGTTAGGCACAGTTCTAAGTACTTAAGACTTATCTTAAAATAAATAGATCTTAAAATAAGTAGATCTTTCTTCTTTTCTGATTAGATAGTTCACGAATTTGTTCACGAAATATGATACTGACCTAAGTTTTCTAACTATATTGAACCTTGCGAAGTAAGACATGAGATGCAGGGTCCATTGTTATTGAGGCTTATTTTCTTCATTGGTGAAGTTTGTAAGAGGTCAATCTCCCTTTTGGGTTATTTTGGGTTCTTAGTCTGTATTTAAGATAACTTAAGTTGAATTCCTCACTGTGGATGTTAGGAGCTCAATAAGTATATATAAAATTCATTGAATAGCTGTGTCTCAGATTTTTCTGTTATAGAAATTCAATGCTAAAATTTAAAAAAATAGGATAGCTAACATATATCAGATACTCTCCTAGATAGTTTATATATCTTACCTCATTTGTTCCTCCTAATAACGCCTTGAGTTACTATTGTAATCCTTTTTTCCAGGTGACAAAACCAAAGTTCAGAGAGGTGAGGTGAAACAGTTAAAGGATGGCACCTACCCACATTAGCAGCATCTTGGGCCTGCCTGACACCAGGGCTGGAGCTCGTGGTTATTTTTCTGCTTAATACTCTTTGAGATGTGCAAATAAGTGTTTTCAAGTTGGCGTTAATATAAATTAATATAATTTTACTTGCCCTTTTGTCTTTTTCTGTCTTCATTTTTAATTTTTTTGGTGGTATGGATTATTGACATTTGATGATACAGGAGATAATTTTCTTTTCCTTTTTCTTTGTGTGTGTTTTAGATAATAATGTAACCCAGGAAAGCCAAAAAGAAGTATTCTGCAAAGATAAAACTCAAGTAAGCATAACGCAGCAAGGAAGAAAGCGACTGGTTTCAACAGGAAGTCCAGAAAAGACATCAGCTGAGCAAGACACAGGAAAAAAGTGCAAAAATGCGCATCAGAAAGAATCTATTATTTCATCCAAGGTGATTTAAAAAAATTCAGTATCTGATTGTTTTCTTCATCAAGTGTTCTAGATAGGAATTAATTATATGTTGTATACAGCAAGGAAAAGTCAAAATTGCTTTATATTAATACGTTTATGAAGTTTATGAAGACAAAAGGTAGCCCAGGTTTTTTTGGTTTATTGAAACTAGTCTTTCATAGAGTATTTGTGTTGTAGAAAACAAAGCTATTTAATTTAGACATTTTCAAACTGGGGAAAAAATGAAGACCACTCAATTCTGGTTATAATTGGTACCTCCATTCTGAAAACCTGGTTTCTGCTATTTTATTGGCCAATCTTGAATGCTTTTAACCACCTTTTTCTAGATAACTGTGAAGAGAAGAACAACTAATGGGCTCGTTCTTAATAGCCTGTTGCAGGATTACTTCTGGGCTAAGTTACAGTATTTATAAACCTTCTCTTTCAGTTTTTGCTGACTCACTAAAATGGTTTGGATGACTTATGCATTTTTTAACACTGGGTACTTTGGATGCATTTGAAAAGAGAGAGAAGAAGATAAGAGATAGCCCCAGAGCAGAAAAGTCAGGTATTCTTCCTCTTGGTAGAGGCTTTAGATGACAGTTTTCATGATCCTGTAGACTTAGAGCTGACCTCTGTGGGTCCCCATCCTTTTAGTCTCAAGGAGAGCCAAAGGTGGAAGATTGGTTTTAGAATAGTGTGCGCTGGAATGATTGAAGGCTAGAAGCATTTCAGAAGGTGAGGCGCCTTGATAGCACTCCCCTCACTCATGCCTCCTCTCCCAGTAGAGCAGACCCAGCTTCTCATGGGGCCCTTTCTTCCAGGTGGAGAAGTGGGGTTTAATCACTATATGCTTAACCCCTTTGCTTTCTTTTGGAGTCAAGTTTAGTAAATGAAAACAAAACATTTTCTGACTTACATGTATTGGCCATAAAACTTATTAAGGTGAAACTTATTTACTTTGAGCCCTAACATGTTCTACCCTCTGAACATATTAATACAACTGCCTTATTTTTCCAAGAGGAGGCTTTTTTTTCAGAAGAAAATCTGTAGTGTACATGTTTTACTATGTTTATTTCTACCCATAAAGTTTGGTAATCACAAGTAAAACTTTCAGGAACATCCTTCTTAATTGATGGACTATAGAGAGGACCAATAAACAGATCCAAAGTAATTTGAGGTATTTGGATATTTTGATGACATCAAGGGAGTATACAGTCAGTCCCCAGGAATGCCTGAGCTCTACTTGGCCAATTGCTTTTCCTTATCTTAGGGCTTCTGAGGGAGGTTTGCCTCTCATAGAACAGGAAAAGCAGAGCTCAAGGCTTCATAACCTTTTTATAACCCTTTATGCAGGGCTCTCTGGTAAAGCTGGGCCAGAGAAGATGACTGATACTGAGATCCAAACAGGCTTTTCCCTGCCTCACCCTCCATCCCCACCCAGTTTGAGTCTTAACATTGGATTGCAGCTGGTCCTGAATGGATGTCTACAGTGCAGAACAGGTGGAGCGAAAGTTAAAAACGAGCAAAAACAAGAGGCTGGGCCTACCTACCTAGTCTAATGGTAGGAGACTGCCAATTATAAGGGACCAAGAACAGTTTGGCCAGGACTGCAGAGTAGACTTGGGTTACTTTACTTGGAAAAAAAACAATCCCATTTACTGGGGAAGACTGAGAAAAGAAGTGGAAAGGACAGAAATCATCTTCTCCCCATAGGGCCCTACTCCTGAGATTCTGACTCAGTTGGTCTGTGTGGCCTGTATATCAGTATAATTTTAAATAAACACTCTCAATTTTAATGTTCACTCAAAGTTGAGAGCTACTGCTATACCATCATTTAACACCTCATAGAAAACTGAGGCTCAAGGTCACATTGCTAGAGGCCTTGGGCCTCAATCATAGATCTTTTCATTTGGGGCACAGTGGATTTCTCTACCATGTGTATTACACTGTCTACAAGAGTTTTGTGACTCTAGTAGCTTCTGATAATGCAGATAATTCCTCTGAAATAGACTTTCTGCAGCTGCTCACCAGTTATATAACTGTCTAATTTGGGAGTGAAAGTGAGGGTGCTTAAATCTATTAAATTTAAAGAAAAGGATGGTATGTTCTGTACACAATCTAATTAGGACTCTGTTGTAAATGACAGGAGGAAGCCCTAACTGAAACAACTTAAGCAAAATAGTTTTGTAAAGTGTATCAACTATCTATTGCTGTGAAACAAGCTAGCTCAACACTCCGTGGCTTACCACAACAATAATTGATTATTTCTTACAATTCTGTGGGTTTGGGGGGCTCAACTAGGCAGTTCTTTTATGACACCGTTTTGTTGTCAGCTGGGCTGTATTCAGCTGGGAGCTTAGCTGAGGCTGGAGCATCCGAGGGGCCTTCATTTACACGAATGGTGCCTCAGCAAGGGGTGATGGAATGGCGGGGGGCTGGCTGTCTCTACTTACTCACTGAGTGGTCCAGACTGAGGGTCTTTACCTGACAGCTGGATCTCAAGAGCGTGCAAAGACGCTTCCAGGTGTCTTAAGGCCTATGGCTGGAACTGGCACATCATTTCTGCTGCATTCCGTTGGTCAGAGCAAGTTACCATGTCAGCCTAGATGCCAGGGGAGGGGACTAGACCCCACTGATTGATGGAGTGATTTGTGTATAAAGGAATGGGAGGGATTGTTGTTGGCAGCCATCTTTGATGACTATCTACACAAAGATGTAGGAATAATTCAGTTTTCCAGAATGGAAAGAAAAACAGGAACTATAGATCATAGGGACCAGCTGGTACCAGGGACTTGATAAAAATCAGGCTGGTCTATGGTTTTCCCATTTTTGCCTCTTGAATCATTCTTCAATGCTGTTGGCAGGCTTTTTTTCACATGGCATACAGCATGGTCATGACACCAGGCTCTTGTCATCCAGTTTTCTACATTAAGAGAAAAAACAAGAGTTTCTCTGTGGTTGCTTCAGTGTTAAATTCTAGGGACTTAGATTTTGGAACCTCCACTTCAACCATTCACGTGGTCAGAAAGATGAGGGAGTATTATTACCCCTCTTTGAGTCATGTTTCTGTTCATTATCAGATGAATGGAGGGAAGAAGTCTAGGAAGAAATAAACAGTAGGCATTTCAGGAGGTTTTTTTTTTTGGATACTGTAGTTAGATTTGGATAAATTCACAGAGGAGAAAAAGAATGGTAGTTTTCTTAGATTGGTACACCATAAGTGGGGGAGTGGAGTGCAAAGATGCGTATTTAACCTCTTGTGAAGGAGGTTTTTGAGTTAGGTGTTGAAAGATGCAAATTGGGTTGCATGTTAGCAAGTTGGGTTGGTGAGAAGGAGTATGGTCAGCGAGGGCATGGAGTGAGCAGAGGCACAAGGCAGGAAAGTGTGTGTGGTTCATGAAAGTGCATCTACATGGGACGTCTTGTGCATGCGTGCATGGATGTGTGTGTGGGTATGGATGGGCGAGATAAGGGGAGGAAGCTGCTGAACACGTCAAGATGGTGCTTGAAAACCAGATTAAATCAGAAATTAGGACTGTATTTTATGTCTTTAGAACTTTCTGAACAGTTTTGAGTGAGAGTCACGTAGTTAGGAGCATGTAGCAGTGATATGTAAGATAGAGGCAGAGCCTGCCCAAAAAGCTGTCACAGGAAGCCATAGGGAAGGAAGGCCTGAACTAGAATGGTGACATTGGGACCAGAAAGAAGCAGAGAAATGTGAGAGACATTTTGGAGACAGAGTTAACAAAACCCAGTGGCTAATAGAATATGGAGGAGGAGGTATAGAGAATGTTCTTAACAGAGGGGAATCAGTAATGCGGCAGTTGGGCAAGGGAAGGGAAGGGCTTGAGGCAATGGTGGCATGTCTATGACAGCTGTCTCATACAAATGAAAGTCTGTCTCACAGGATGGATAAAAATCAGGGATAGAGAGTTCTGTTATATCCATGTTACTTAGAAGTAAACTTGCAAACATTTCATTCAGAGTATTTTGCTGTGTTTAATGCTCACATTTTTGCCCAGATTCGTGAGGGAAAAATAAGGATGCACATTATACATGCATAGTACTAATTCCGTATCTATATAAATGTTTTTAATTCTTTTATTTATGCTTATGAGTTAAAAGTGTAACTCTAAAACTCAGTAATGATATCTATATGCAAAATAATGCCCTGGAATATGATAATCGGTATTGCTGAATTTATGACGAACTTGCAACAACAACAAAGAGTTCTTGGCCTTCTATGATGCGTAAATATTGTAAATTTGTTACCGGTACATAAAATTTCTTGTACCTTGTATCTGTTCTTGTGTTTCGTAATTATTTGTTACATAACATTTCTTGTACCATAATAAGTTAAAAAAATAAATGCTAAAGTTTCTTTATAATACAAAAAGCAAGTACCTAAATGTAAACAAATAAACATTTGAATTAAAAAATTAAAACAAAAGATTTTTTCCCTGAAAGTTTGAGCCAAAAACTTGGGTATACATTATACACAGCAAAATATGGTAAATGGAATATATTGAGGTGGATGCTTTGGCAATGAAAGCCATTTCCTGTTATTCTGCCTGCTCTGTCCTGTATATCCAGCTTCTCCCTGGGGTAATAATTGCTGAAACAAATAAGCTGGCTATTAAGAATCTCATTTCTCTACATACAGATGTAGATGTCTGCTGTGGAGTCACTCATTTTTTGTCATGGAAATAGCGGGGGACATGAAGACTGTAACTCTTATTTATACAGCTATTTCTTAAGAAGGCTGTATCCCCCAGAGCTCCTGAGTATGGGTTTACTACATCAAAGAATCTTATACCCTTTGCTCCTGATTGGCCATTTGGGTTAGTACCATTTATAGCACAGCTCTGACCAGTCCCATAGAAACATCTTTTCATTCATTCATTCATTCATTCATTCATTCATTCATTCAGCATTCATTAAGCAAATAGTAGTAATGTAGTGGCGTTAATTTTGCTATTAACAACACCACCACCTAGA